GGGCCAGACAGCTGAGAACAGACTGGAATAGAAAGCAAATCATTCCAATGGTGAGAGTCCACGAGACCATCCATTGCTAAGCTACTGAAAAAGAGAAAAAGGCAGAACTGATGTAAACAGAGTTTAGTAAGATTTTGCTCTAGTAAAATGGTGGTTTCATATCAGATTTACCTGGTTCTCCTCATAGCTTGATTAACTAGTTTATCACTTCGTTTTTGGTTAGAAGTTTGAGTTTGTTTCCTTATTTCTCTTTTTTTTAAGGCCCTGGTTTGATATTGTCCTCTATGTTGACAGGGATGCATTTTAACTTAGATCCTTTGCTGATGAGCATGCTGACATGTAAAGCAGAATAACTGGTGCTTTCATATCACACTGTCATCATTTGGGTGTGAGGGGTGACTAGATTTAAGACTGCAGTTTTTAAAGTTTTGGGTAGCTTTGTTCAGCAAATCCTCTAGAAGTTGTGATACTTTGCCAGACGCAGTCTTTGATTGTGGTTTAGACTCTGCTTTGATTCACTGCTGCTTGGGATAATCGTCTCTGTTAGTGCAGAGTGTATCACTGAGTCAGATGAGAGCCCGGCGCAGAGATGGCTCTGTCACTACAATCATCTAGTAAGTCATTCCAAGTTGGGGCTTAGGACTCTGATTTCCCCTCCCAAGCTTGAATGTGTGCTTTTGGCACATGAATCCTTCTTGATTCTTATCTTAGTCTGTAAATAGCATAGAAATTGCACATGGAAAAATGGAACAAATCATACTTTCTTTCAAAGGGCAAATTAAACATTCCATAGAATAAGGAGAGAGTTGTTGGCGAGGGGAAAAAAAAATGCAACCTTGCTAGCTCCAGTGTGAAAAAAGAACAGAATAAATTGGACGCGAACGCAACCTTAAAGAACGTTTTGAGCATTTGCACTTTTTTCTTTAACCACCCTCTTAGCCCTCCTGCCAAATACCAAATCCTAAGTTTTCCAAAGGTTTGAAAATATTCCCATTAATTTTTTTTCTTCATAGCCCTATATTTACCAGGGCTTGAAATGGAAATACTGAAACCTTGTAATGAAGGGAACTATAGAATTCCCGGTCTGTTGGAGGCCAAGTGCTCCTGGCAAAATGCTCAGGAAGTCCTGTTCCTACCAGGCTACAGTGGAGTTTTCAGTTACAGGCTGTTTTGAAAATTCAGGTAAATTAAGAATAAGCAGTTTACCTAAAATATGAAGCGAGCTATTTCTTTGACTCAATAAATAAATAAATTTGCAGATGAAATTATGAAACTCACTTCCTGAAAGGGGAGAGAGGATAAACCTCCTGGGGGAATGACCTGGAATGATAAGATTCTGCCCTGTCTTCTGGAGGAGACGCTGGGCATGTCAACTCTTAGTTGGACAAAGTTCAGCAACACACATGAATTGTCACTTATTTGTGGAATTGTGGAATGCAGCATCTCTTATTCCCTCCATACTGCCTTCAAGAGGCAGCTGTTACGTGAGCACCTCAAGGACTTTGGGAGGGGGGTGGGATCCTGATTCATTCAATTACAATTGTTCAAGGGATGACCGGACAAATTCAAACAAGGGGAAGAAGTGAGTAAAAAGTCAGTGAGAACAAGGGCAAGATGTGGCATGAGAGCTACTGGCTCTGGCTCTGAAAAGGCTGCAGACAGGGAGGCCTGTCCTGCCCACATTTGCACAGTTGGTGAGTGGCCTGTTAGGACTAGAATCCGGATGCTGCTTCCAGTACTGCATCTGTTCACCAACCCTGCCAGCCCAAGGTGACGGCCTCCATCATGTCACATCCTGGCCCCTAATTTTAAACTCATCCCCTCTTCTGGTTCAATTTTTCATTTATAACTGTGGCACCACTCAAGTGTCTACTCTGTCCCTTTTCTGTCTTCTGGCGCAGGTGCACATTTCTTTAGCTTCCTCACTCTGTACCTCTAGGCAGAGTATCTTCACCCATCGGTCTTATCTGTCTCTGGGAGGGCCACTCCTATTCCTCTCGTAGAGAGATACCTTCAGCTGGGATCTCAATCCCATCCTCTTCCAGCCCTCAAGGGTTAGGGCTCTAGTCCTTCCCTTGTGATGCTGGGACTGAGCCATTCTCTTGGTAGGCTGTAACCCTGTGATGTGCCAAGGCTGCTTGAGCTCCATCCTCTGCCTGGACAGCCCTGCTAGGTCTTCCCTCTTCTTTTGCTTATCTATTGTCATTCATCAACATTTGCTCTTAATAGATTAATATAGTCAATTTTAGGAGTGGTAAAGCTTATTTTAGAAAATATGAGAAAACAGGCCAGGTGTGGTGGGTCATGCCTGTAATCCTAGCTCTTTGGGAGGCCGAGGTGGGAAGATCACCTGAGGTCAGGACTTCGAGAGCAGCCTGGCCAACATGGTGAGACCTCCATCTCTATTAAAATACAAAACATGAGCCAGGTATGGTGGTGTGTACCTGTAATTCCAGCTACTCGGGAGGCTGAGGCAAGAGAATCACTTGAATCCAGGAGGCGGAGGTTGCAGTGAACTGAGATCATGCCACTATACTCCAGCCTGGGCCACAGAATGAGACTCTGTCTCAAAAAAAAAAAAAGAAAGAAAGAAAGAAAGAAAGAAAGAAAGAAAGAAAGAAAGAAAGAAAGAAAGAAAAGAAAATACGAGACAACAAATCATGCAATAAAGCAGAAATCACTATAGTTCTGCATGTAACTTTGACTACTTTACCCCCCACAGGTTTTTAAAAAACAAAAAATCCTATAGAATTTAAAAAATTTTCCTTGATTGATTTTAAAAGTATTTCTTGGTAGAATATTTAAAATACATAGAAAGGTCCAAAAGAAAACATTTCCTAGAATTTCACCCTATATTTCAATGGATTTGCTTAGGACTTTTGTTTCCATGCACATCTAAAGGGTGTACTTTTGACGTGATTTTTGGGAGTACCTGGCACAGGAATAGTCACAGCTTCTACATGGAAGAGCATGGAAAGGGGTAGTTTAGCAGTAGATAACAGCTGCCCTGGGTGCCTTAGAAGTCTTTATTGATTAAAAGAAAACAATCCTAGGCCAGGTGTGGTGGCTCATGCCTGCAATCCAAGCACTTTGGAGGCCAAGGCGGGCGGATCACCTGAGGTCGGGAGTTCAAGACCAGCCTGATAAACATGGTGAAACCCCATCTTTTAAAAAAAATCCTAAATGGTTTAGGCATTCCTCTAAAGATGCACTAAAATATGACTCAAGTTTTTGGCAATAAAAATATCATAATGCCAAAAATACCCTATTATTTTATTTACAGATTTCTTGAAAGAAAAAAATGAATTTTTAATGTAATAGTTATCTTAGTGTCTCAATTGTGTGATAAGCTTAGCTGAACAGGAGGCTGCCATTCATTAGACTGAGAGGCAGCTTCGTTTCCTGGTTAAAAGCAGGATGCTCCTGTCTTGATGGCTCAGCTCTGCAACTTACTCTCTGTAACTTATCAGCTGGTGATAGTATGAATTCTTATCTTCTGTCTTCATAATTATCTTAGCAAGAAGTTGGGGGAATCAATGCTAACAGCCACTACTGGCCAAATGCCTGACAGCTTTTTCTCCTTTCAGAATCCTCCCAGGTTTCCCCAACCTACACCCACCCTCCCAGGAGTAAAATTAATTTTTTCATTTTTTGTACTCTCATAGAGTATGTACTCAAGTCTATCATAATATTTATTGAAATGCATACTCTATTTGTTAAATGTTCATCATCTCTCACTTCCCTCTTGCCAATACTGTAAGCCTATGAGCTTATTACGTATGGGAACTTAAAAAAATCTTTGTGTCATCAGAGCCTAGCCCAGACCTAGTGGGTACTTAATACAAATGCCTGTCAGAGGCATAAATATTGTACTCTGAAACTGATTTTGAAACCTAAATGCGTAGCCTCCTATTTATTTCTACTGCATTTTACCTTTTGGGCCTCAACATCCGGTGGTGTTTATTTTTACTTAATTGGAAGATACAACCAAAAAAAATCAAAACAAAACATAACAACACTGTGCATCAGCAGAATGCAGCGATACAACTTACTTGAAGGAGGTGCAGTGGAATTCACAAAAGCAATAATGGCCAAATAACGAGGAAGATGTTACTTACTATTATTACACTGTATTCATGTTTCAGACATGAGCAAACTGAGGCTCGGAAATTGCATGATGAAGGGCAACACAGATTTACTGGCAGAAATCAGACGACAACATGTTATACAGAGGAGATGATAGCTGTCCTTGAAATACAGTGGTACGTATGAGATGTTAGATAAGGCAGTCCTGATGGAGGAGGCGTCTCTATCTGAGCCTTGTAGGGAATGGACTGGAGAATAGAGATTCCAGGGTAGAGAGCCATAGACACTGAGAATGTCACGGTGCAAGCACCAAAACAGAGTAAGACAATCCACGGTGACCAGATGTCGGCAGAGTAGCACACAGTCATTTTCCCTGTATAACTTTTAATTCCTTTTCCTCAAAAAGGCAGCAACTAGCTCATGTGTCAGAGCAGCTTGTCGTTTTACTCACTTTCCCTGCAAAACCTGTCGCCTTCTTCGTTTACCTCCAAATTCAGAGGGACCAGAATACAGTTTGAAGGAACAAGAGATATGATAAAATACAGTTGAAAAAGAAATTGCATTGTCCATAGATCCTATGGTCTGAGTTTAATAACTCATAATCCCCTTAAAATACTAACTCATAATCCAGTTAATGTGCAGAAACACGAAGCATCACTTAAACTATTTTTAAAAGATCTGGGAAAATATTCCACATTAAGTTATTTACTTTGAAGGTATTTAGCATACTAGATACGATAGAAACTCTTGACTTTTTCAATGAGAGAGAATATGGGAAGATAAAGGCTTTATTAAGAGTGTAACGATACTCATTATCAGAACAGTGTCAAAGTTGGTATAATAAAAGGAATTTGGAGGAATTGAATATTGTAAATGAAAAAACTTTTAAGCTTATGTTCGAGAATTGTGCATGCTGTGTGTTTTTGGCATGCTATAAATTCTTGAGCCACAGTCTGCAGTAAAAATTCTGCAAACTTGTTAAGCCTTTTGCATCCCTAATCAGTTTCTAAGTGTTATCAACTAATAAAATACATCCCATAACAAACATTTGGTAAATATTTAGCATAATTATTGAATTGTACTTACCTCAAGGTTTTATGTTCTTTTTCTTCCACTTCTAAAAAAGCATACTATAGATTTCAGTAGAAGTTGGCAGCCCCACAGATGTTGAAGTGTGAATTTTGGATGTTTGCAGGTTGTAAATATGTGGAATTTTGATCGTGAATGGGAATTTAACATTACAACCTTGCATGGCTGGAAAGATTCTGCAATAGCAACAATTTCACATTTGCATAAACAGCTTTATTATAGTTGGAGTAATATATAGAAAGAACACAAATTACTCTGACCAGAGTTAAACCTATAAAGCAATCACATTTGAATGAGGATTTTACTTAAAATCATAGACTCATCAACTCTAAAGTGTTTTTATCTTTCACAAGAGACAAATTTAGCCTGTTATGAATAAAATCCCTTAATATCTGCATTTTCTGGCTGGCATATGTATACTGCCTCAGTGGAACTTTAAAATAAAATCATACATATGAAAAAATTAAAAAGAGGCAAGCAACTAAAGTATTAGACCAAAAAAATCTAGTTTTTTACATCAAATAGTAAAATAATTGTCAGAAGTGTTTGCTTTAATTGAATTTTAAACCCTAGAATCTTTTTCAGCTCTTGATTTCACTGTAAGAATGCAGAGAGTACAGAAACAACTAGAAGCTTTTGAAATCTGCCCTTCTCTTACCTTTTGTTGATGTTAGTACCATCTCTGTCACTTTGCTCAGTGGAGGTATAGTTTTGATCATGCAATTTTACAGGTATTTTGTTAAAAGATTCAGGAAGTTAGGTATCTACATTCCAAATGCAGCGAATTACAAGGTGCTCTTGATTAATCAGAATGCTTTATGACACATGTTTTCAAGCCTCAGGTTGAAACAATTTGTATATCCCCATCAAAGGTGTGATATTCAATTGAAGAATTATGCAAGTTAGTTCTGCATTTCAGATAAATGTTGGATTAATTATTTGGCTCCTAGGAAACTTCACTCAGGCATGTCTTAGTTGCATACTGTTTGAAAATAAAAAGCAATTAAACGGAGAAATACAAATATACTATTGCATGATATTGCTATTTTTATTGTAACTCTAAGTCAGTTTTATACAGAAAAACTCCGAACTTCATTGAGGAAGCCTTTATAGTTTTTAACTGCTTATTAACTCCATCTCTTAAAAATATTAATTTGTAAATTTGAAGGGAATGAAACAAAATTGTCTAATCATTTGAAAGTTGGTAAGACTATTTAAAAGAAAAGCACTCATATACAGAATGTTATTTCTCTAGTCTCATTCGCATTGATGTTAACTTGTCAAGGCTATTCTCATTTCCATATATTTTACCCACTCTTAAAACACTGAATAGAGTTTTGCTGCCTTAGATTCAGAAGCAGGGTGTTAATTCAGGATAGAGAGCAGTAAAAATATGAAAGTCTTTGTATTTCTCTCCTGACAAATCAATGGCTTGTACAGATACAAGGGAAATAAATGCATTTTACCAGTTAGAGTTCTTTAAAAAAAAAAAAGGGATGAGGAAAGATGAAGGGAATACTACTAATACTTTTGCAAACATTAGCTGGAGATTGGAGTATATCTCAGCTGATTTTAGTCTTTACTTTAAATTTGAAACCTAAATGAAAGCTGCAATTTAATAATAATAGGTAGCATTTATGGAAAGGTTTCTGTAGGTTCTCACTTCTTTACACTATAATCTCATCAGATTTTTATGCACAACCCTATGAGGAAGGAACAAATATTACCCCCATTTTACAGGTTGGTTAACCTGGGAAGAGATAAGTTATGGAGGCTGTCGATGGTTATACTGCAAGCATTTTGATCCCAGGCAGTCTGCCTCTAGAGTACACACTCCATTTGCTTGCCCTTCTGTAATTGAAATCTGTACGACTGCATCTTGTTTTCAGCCCCAAGCAAAGGGCATGACAAGTAATTTTGAACATCATTCATTTCTTGTGGATGATCTGAAAAGAAAGGTAAGGGAAAAGAAAGAATTTAAAATCATGTGGGATTCCAGTATCCAGTGACAATGATGGTGTACCTTTTGCAGCGTGTATTTCAAGGTTTTCAATACTTAGGGACATACCTACACATTTGCGTACATTTGCCGACCCCTTAGCTTTTCTCAGGAGAATAATACTCATTGACCCATCTATCAATCAATTCCCGTTGCTTCTCACCCTGGAGTGTACTATATAAAGTAGCCCAGATAAGAAGCAGCACAATAGCAAATCAAAGTGTGCAAATGTCTGCATGTGTGTGTGTGTGTGTTTTGCCCAACTGTTGCTTGGTACCCTAGAGTGTACTACATAGAATTGCTCTGATAAGAAGCAGCTCAATAGCAAACCAAAGTCTGCGAATGTCTGCCTTTCTGTGTGTGTGTGTGTATGTGTGTGTGTGTGTGTGTGCCCAAATTGTTGCTGATCTTCTTCTTTGCCCACACTAATGTAATATTCGAGACATTTCTTTCTCCACAAGCTGTTATAGGGCAGTCTCATGACTCCATTTTATTAATGGTTGCTTTAGAAGTTGACTGCTTAGATCCTGGAGGTAATCTCAAGGGCTTTCTAAATAAATTTTTGGATGTCAAGTAACACACATTTAACTCAGATGATCTTAAATATACTTTCCAAAATTTGTTCTGACCCCTGCCTGCTCCTGCCTCTTTCTCTTACTATGGCGCTTCTTAGGACTTCTCACCATTGATTTCCAGTTAGCTGCCTTCCAGCTACGTTGTGGGATTGCATTTTCTGGCCTTCCTGAGATTGGGTGACTGATTCTAGCCAATGAGGTACAGCATTCAATCACTGGTACAAGACACTCTAGAGGACTGTGGCTCCCACAAATTTCAGTCAGGTGTGTAATTTTAAAGTTTCTAGTAACACATTAAAAATGTTAAAGAAACAGGTGAAATTCATTTTAATAATATATCTTCTTTAACATAAGATATTTAAAATATAATTTCAACATGAAATCCATATAAAATTATTGAGATATTTTATATTCTTTTTTAATTACTATTTTTATTTGGACAAAGTCTTTGCAATCAGGTATATATTTAGCACTTATAGCAATATGAATTCACCCAAGTCCCATTTCAAGTACTCTAGAGCAACACGGGGCAAGTGGCTACTAAGTTGGGGAAACCAGCTCTGGAGTGCTCTTTGATTCTGCTGCAGTGTAGCCAAGTTTGAGGTGGTGACTGATCTGTTTTTGTGTCACAGCGTGAGGGGATACAGAGCAGAACTCCCTACTGCCAAGACGGACCTGGAATATGACGAGCACTAAACACTGGTTGTTGTAAGCCTCTAAAAAGTTTTGTGTTTTTGTTATATTGCGACATACTCTACCCTATCCTGCCTGATATTTCTTTCTTTATTCAAAACGGGACCAGGCACTGTCTATTGTTTCTCACCTGTTTTGCATCTAACACTTTTAAAATATCCTTCTATTTGTTATACATTCCTCTCCATCACAGCATCTTTTCTATCAGCCACATAACATTGCATGGTATGCACATGTCGTAGTGGATTTAACCAATTGCCCCACTGTTGCACACTTAGAATTGTTCCCATTTACTCAGTTTAGTGATGCCGTAATATTTATCTTTATAGTTAAGTCTTAGGGTACAATAATAATCATGATAATGATTTTTTTTCTTACCAAAAATTCCAAGAAATGAAGTGGTTGGGATAAAGGCACAGCACTTTTTATAGTGTGTGATAGTTATTCCTGGTTGTTTCTTGAGAAAGTTTCAATGTATTTATTTGCCACCTGATGTATGGCACAGAGTATTAGTATGCCTACCATTTAAATTAAATGCTTTTTCAGATGTGAGTTAGACAGTTGTATTTATTATTTTGCTAATTGCTTGTTCATTTCAACTGTCTTTTCCTACTGACTTGTTTGCCTTTCTTACTGATTTGTAATAATTCTGCCTGTGTGTACGCTATTAAACTTTTGCTGTCATGAGTATTATATGCTCTTCATTTGTCATTTTTTCATTTTTGAGATTTAGTTAAAAAGAATACACAACTGTATATGACTTTGAGCATGCTTTTAGATATAACTTGTTTTTAAACATGAAAATTTTGATCCTTCAGATGTAAATGTGATGCAAAAGCATTGGTTATTGCATGTCAAATATTCAAGTTTATTAAAAAATACAGTGCAAATAAAGACTACTCCACTTAGGTCCAAACTAAAGCATTACTGAACATTTTTAGTTAATCATTATGTGTTCTTTCATCCTCTTAGAAAGCTACCTGTGAAATCTTCCTGCATTACAGAACAGGACATGCATTATATATCCTAAACAAGACATTCTTTTTTTTTTCATATGAAATACCTTCTCTAAGTTGTGTATTTGCTTTCCACACAGAAAACATGTAACACGCAACCAATATTTCTAGAAGAATTTTAGACTAACTCAAACTAAGTATATGTTATGGTTTGTTACACCAACATTACTTCTGATGATAATTTAAATTAAAAAATGAGAGTTAATTCTCCTTTTCCACTTGGCCATTTTGGTCCAGTGACTCGTGAATTCTTTCTAAAAGATTCCCTTGGTTGTAATTTGCTTGGTGGTCCCTGATTCTTGTTATTATTCTATGCTTGCAACATCTGCCTGTTGTTTCTGGAAAAGTGTATTGTGAACTACAAGCTTGTGCTATTTCCTAGCACTTGTATGTCATTCTTAACACACACAAGATGATTTGCATTCATTTGTAATCATTGTTCTTTGCAAAATACTGGTAAGAGGTTTATGATAATAACCACCATTTTGCCCATGGGGAAACTGAGACCCAGAAAGGTTAAGTGACTTACCCAAAGGCATACAGTGAATTGATGGCGGAGCTGGAATTGCAGGCAAGCATCCTTGGAGGGTGCCTATTGTTCGGCACACTCAGCAACAAGGCCTCTCGGCGCTGTGTTCTTTCTTCCAAGCGTCACATTTTCTTATTCCTTCACTCCGCAATTCTTTAAGAACACGTGACATGCTCATAATACAAGGTTAGAATAGTAATATATTTTCTTCTATTTTTTTCCTTCTCTTGCTTAAACATATTAATTCAACAACTTGAAAATAGGTCAGTAACAGAGAAATCATTCACGCTTTTTACATGGAAAACAATTGAATGGCATCATTGAAGAATCCAAAAGTGTATCTTGTCTTTTCCTTAGGGGATGGGAAACGCACTCAAGTGAAAAGGAAAACTATGTACTTTTGTACACTCACTTATGTTTACATAATAGGAGGTGAAGTAGAAATATTAATAGTATCACAAATAACTGCTGTGATTTCAAAGTCTTTGTAATTGTTCAGAGTGACTAAACAGTGTACAATGCAGTCTGTAGGGATATTAATTCCAAGTGATCCTTCAAATTTATTTTGGCAGTACAATATTTTTAACCACTCCAGGTACTATAAAACTGTTAAATAGTATGAAACTATATTAATTAAACTGTTGAAATAACACGTTATTAGTGGAAAAGGATTTTCCTGCTTTAAATAATCAACGAACAGAATGAATTATCCTTAGCAATATTTTCTTAAAGTATAGACTAGTATTGTTTTCAAGATAAGATTTTGGGAGCAGTTTGGGAATTTTGCATGTTTGTATGTTTCCATATCGATTTGTGGATGTCAAAATCAATACTGTATTCAGAAAGAATAATATACTATGACTTAGAAATTCCTATCTCCTCCTTCTCCCATGCTTCCATTTTCCATTTTAACAAAATTTTGTGTTTGTCTATTTAGAATACTGTTTGTAGTTAGTTTCCCTACATTTTAAAACATCCTTTTAAGCTTTTCTTTTATGTAAATTATTTAAAAATGTGACTTTAATAGGGATCTTTGGAAAGAACATGAAATATATGAACAGAATTATTGTTCAACTTAATGTAGGGCCCGAATTTAGAACATATACTATGCTCTTTTTGCCTCCAGATGGTTTTTGAGTAACCCTCTGCTCCAAGAAGTTATCAGTTCTTATCCACCCTCAGAAAGCAAGTCCTGTGTATTAAAACGTAATCAGATTAAGAGAGAAACCTAATCCGACTCACCTTAGAAGTAAGTTTTCTTTCTCCAGCTTTCAGGAATAACACTTCAACACGTATTTATCTAATTCTTTGGTTTTGTATAAAGAGTATTTAGTCACATTGCTTCCTGGAGAGGCTACTCATATCTGCATTTTCTTTCTCCTTATTCCACAGTGTGCTTCCTACCTCAGGAAAATTGGAGATAAGAAGAACTCACCCTCTTTTAGGCAACCGTAAGCTTCAGATTTCAGAGAATAATAAAAAAGGAAAATCAATCAAACAAACAAAATATCCTTCAGATTACTCCTAAGTCAAGTGGCGCATGCCTTTTATATGAAAGTATGACCTTTCTCTCTCCCATCATCTTCTCTCTGCCTCTCTAGCCACCCCTTTGGATTATTTATAGTCCCCCCTTCTCTACCTACCCCACCAGTTTTATTTATTTTTTATTTTTTTTTATTATTTTTTTTTTGTGTGGCTACCTCCTCTCTACCCAACAAAGGAGGAAGCCTAAGAGACATTGTCACTTGGGGGCAGGGGTGTTCCACTGTCTCTGGGAGGGTGGGGGAAATCAGTTTGAACAAGTAACATCACTGGCCTGTGTATTCTCTGCTCACTCCTGTCGCTGAGGCTGGGGACCAGTCAATCACCTTAACTCTTGTACTTTGTACCTTGGAGCTGTGCAAATCAAACTGTCTAGCTATAGTGGGGTGTGGGAGACCAAGAAGGCAGGCTTTACAAACACTGGCTTTCTCTCTCTCTCTCTCTTTTTTTTTTTTTTTTTTTTTTGAGAAAGAGTCTTACTCCATCACCAGGCGCTAGGTTGGAGTGGAGTAGTGTGACCTCGGCTCACTGCAACCTGCACCTTCCTGGGTTCAATCAATTCTCCTGCCTCAGCCTCCAGAGTAGCTAGGACTACAGGCACGCGCCACCATGCCTGGCTATTTGAGACAGGGTTTCACCACGCTGACCAGGCTGGTCTTGAACCCCTGACCTCGTCATCCACCCAAAGTGGCCTCCCAAAGTGCTAGGATTAAAGGCATGAGCCATCGCGCCCGGCTCCTCTCATATTTGACAGCATAGCTTGGGCCTTGTGCGAGTCCTTGTGTGATATGATTTGGAAATCGTAAAGAGAATAAGGGACTCTGGGAGGCCCTCAAATGCTCAGCATCCAGCAGAGTGTGTTCTTGCTTAGGGTAGTAAGTAGTAAATCACCCATACCCTCATCCCAAGTCCTGTGTTCAGCTCTTTGTCCTCTACATGATCACACTCTGACCTCCAAAGTAATTAAGACAAGAGAAATTCCTTCAACCTCAGCACGTGCAAACACAATTTCAGAGGGAAATAGTTACCATGTCTAGCAATCAACTCTTTGGGCTCATTTAATTGAAATTTATGCGTTTGGGGAAAACATGACTGGCTAAAGACTTTGGCAGCCCCAAGCCTGCAATAGGCAGAAACTCCTGAATCACCCTCTGAAAACCAGATATATGGCTACATTTATTGATGTTATTTTGGCTAACTTTCTTTAACATACATTTTTTTTTTTTCTAGTTAAAACTTCATTGAAAACCTCACGTAAGAGTCCCTCTCTCTCCAGCCCTCCTTCTCCCTCTAGTTGTCTGTCTGTAAGAGAGAGAGAAAAAAAGAGCATATCGACGCTAAATAAAAACCAGAAAGAGCAACCTTATGTCATTTATTTCTCTGAAATTGAAAAAAAACATTTTTTCCCTTAGAAAACTGTTCTGATTTAAAATAAAAACACTTCAAAAGGTACTTTGCATTATATGTATGTCTTCCGTGAGAAACAACACCCACATCTAGTGATTTTCTCATCTTGTCCCCGTCTGACAAGATCTGTACTAAAATATATTAAAAAAGAAAAAAAAAAAAAAAAGGATAAAAGAAAAAGGCGGTGGGGGGAGGGGGGAGACGCTGGGAGCAGCAGAAATCTCTCCCTCAGCCTGGGGCCTTTCCTTTCTCACCCAGGCAAGGGTGGGGACACCTCGGCCTGGGCTTCCTGAGGCTCCAGCTCTGAGCTCCCGCGACCTTCTGATTATGGGGCCCCCTGGGTTCCCCGACTTCAGCTCCCACCCCATTCATTCCCCTCGACCTGGGAGCCGGGCTCAGCCTCCCTCCTGGAATTCACCTCGGGACCCTGCTATTGTCCCTCTCGTCTGACCTCTGCTACGCTAAGTTCTAACAAGGTGATCTAGAAAAGGCGCCACTGGCTCCCTAGCGGGCTCCCCGACTCGCCTTTTCGCGCCCTCGGCGGCGGCTCTTTTCTCCAAGGGGGACCACCAAGTGCTCGGCTTTGCACGGCCAATTTATGGCGCTGTCAGGGGCTCGGGCGCCGCGCCCATTGTGCGGGACGCCGCGCCTGACCCCGCCGCCAGCGCCGTGTAGCCCGATTGTTCCCTCATTAGGGCGGCCGGGATCGGCGGAAAGGCTCGCTGCCCTTTCCCACAATCGCTGATAATGTGCGGCCTCAGGCTTGCCACAGGCGCGGGCGAGGAGAAATGGAGAGGATGTGCCACCGAGTGGGGCGCAAGGGACATCGCATTCCCACGCGAGGAAGGGGAAGAAAGCAACTACTCAAATCCCCAAACCCAAACTCCAGACCCTGCGCAGCCTGGAGTAGCTTTTTCTGGGGTTTTGGTGGCGGCTGTCAAGACCCACAGGAAATGTGCTGGGGGAAGACTCCACAGCGCCCTACAAAGAACTAAATCAACGCTAGAGCCCACGAGTTCGAGGCTGCAGTGAGATCAGATCCCGCCACTGCACTTAGGCCTGGACTTCATTTTTAAAACCCTATCTCAAAAATAAACAACAACAACAACAATAACAAAAACCAAACCAACACAGCCACAAACATCCTTAAATCAAGAGTTGCAAAGATCCAGCAGCCAGCGAACTTGGGCACAGGAGAGCTCTGGGCACAGGGGCAAGAAGTGCCCGGATGCGAGCGGGGCTGATCGGTGCCCTGCAGGGAGGAGCCGGGTCTGCGGCCGCCTGGAGAAAGGAGGAAGGAAGCGGGCGGGGCTCTGAAGCAGGCCTAGGGCGATCAGCACTCGCACAGGCTGCTTTCAGGAGCAGTAGCCATCCGCTGTGTAGCAGTCTCTTTCCCAGCCTCGCTACTAGAAGGAGCCCGTTGAGGTTTTTCCCTTTCGTGTTGTTTGCCCCACTGTGCCTGTTGCTGCTGTTCTTAGTGAAAATGCCTCCCAGAGAGGTGAGGGAGCCTGAACACCACACTTTCACGCTCTCACTTTTCCTTCTGGCCAGCAAAGTGAGGACACTGCCCAGACAGCGTTTCTCTGCCCCCCTCCTCCTCCGGCCTGTTGCGTTGAAAGGGCCTTCTCTAAAACTGCAAATAAAGAGCCAGCTTCAGAGAAACCGGGCAAAGGCTCAAGGCGAAGGCACAAAAAGGACCATCTCTGTCCTGGCGCTTAGAAGTATACAAAAAGCGACGCTCAGATTCTTAGGTCTGTGAAATGCTGTTTGAGTTGAGACACAATACCCGCCTGCAGGGCATGCATAGAAAGTGATTTTAGGCGGCAATAACTTAGGGTAATTCTCTTTATTTTATAAACATCATTAACTCTTATGAGATGATGCAAAAATATTCAACGTTTCTTTTGCACTTTCTCAAAAAAGTGAATTCTCGGGCTAAGGCCTTAAGCAACCACATTTATTAGCAGGTGATTCAAAATTGCACACCCAAAGAGAAACTTCAAGAAGTTTCAGGGATACTATGCACAGACTTTTAACTTTAAAACTCTTCTCAAAACAGTGCTTTTGAATTGAAAATGTGTTTATTCCCTTAGCAGAATATAAAGCTAGAATTGAATAGAAAAGAAAGCTTATATTCCAATAATATGATTTGTATAAAATATGTTGAAAGATATCAATTATCTATATTTCAAGTACATTTAAAAAATTCTAAGTACTCCAGAATTTTAAATTATTCTTAAAATGAACTAAAGATATTTTCATAATTGTGAATTAAGCTTTTTTTAAAAAGCCCAAGTCTCATCTTTGGGATGCACGTTGTCCTATTGTTTTCTCCAAAACTTTCCTGACAGGGTAAAAAGGGTTTTAGGTTCTTGTGTTTAATATTATAACAAGACCTAGGGCACAAGTTGTATTAGTTTATAAAATCCATTGCCAAGGTGAATTTGGTTGTGTCAGTTTTTCTTTCTTGTTTTTAGCAGACGGCTTTCTATTGACTGTTAACCTTGAAATCAAATGTGTAAAGCTTTTTATTTAAAACAAAATAGTGATCTTAATTTGAGGTACATTGCGTGTAGTCTTGAAGTTTGTGATGGCTGCTTTATGGTGGTGGCGAGTGTTTCTTTGTAACTTTTAGTTTTCTCTGAGTCTTTAAATTTCACTGTTCTTGTAGTTCTGAGCTAGTATATCCGCACTTGATCTGGGCCCCAACATATTTTGATTGTAAATAAAAAGTCTTCTTTTATGAGGATGTTCACTTCACAGCTTGAGCAGTGTAATTTTTATACAGGTCTCAGCAATCAATAAAAAAGCCACAGGAGGAATGATTTATCTTGTTGGTTACAGAGACTGTCACCGAGAGAAATTGTAAAAGATCAATTTACACAACCTGGTGTGAGAATGTTATTGATATAACACGGTTGATCGGTTTCTGGTTGTCTGTGCGCAAGCACTGCGGAGGGAGCACCACCACCACTCGCCAAGGTCTTAATAGACTCTGCGCTCCATAAAGTGGACACCGAGCCAGTGACGGCGGAGATGGCCCGGCGGGCGCCCACCGGCATTGGCTGCGCTCCGATTACTTCGTTAAGCAGTGCCATGCTTCTTCTCTCTCTTTCTCTCTCTCTCTCTCTCTTTTTTTTTTTAAGGTTTCCCTCCTACTGTGAGAACTGTTCACTTGGAGACTCCCTGTCTTAATTACAAAGAGCCCTTTTAACCATAGGTCACAGGACTTGGCTCTCTTGACAGGAAATAGGGAAACAAGCTACCTTCCTGGAAAAAAAAATTTCAAACTTCCACTTCTCAAATTAGTGAAATGAAGCTTGTCGGCGGTTGGGAGTTGAGCCTTATGACAGTTGGCTAATTGCAGTTGGTGCATTAACTATGTTTTAACCAGAGCTGTTTGGGATGTAAGGAGATTCAAGAAGTAAAGCAAGCCTAGGCACTTCCAACGAAAAACACTTAAAATAACCACAAAGTTAATATTGGTTTTACTTGCTATAGGTGTTACAATACAAAATGGATTCTTGTATCTTTAACATTGTAATTCAGTCAATTTACAAACATTCACATTTTTTTC